GCGATGGTCGTTTCTTATAGCTACAATCTCTGGGTGATATTGGTTCAGATCTTCCTTCACTCTCGGAAAAATTTTGTAGCAAGCGTGGTGTATGGTGACGAACTAGGCTGTCTAGCGTAGGCTATACACATACGCGGGTCTCATGGAGGAAAGCTGTCTGCATTGGCCAAAGAAGATGAGCATGGAAAAAATGTCCCCCATGTTCTGCTGGTAGGGCTGGGATGGGCGCTGCTGGACAGTGGGGCAGCAGTGACAACAACTATGGCCTACTCTAACTGACTTTAAAAGATGGCTGACGTCACATCTGAACTTTGCCTGAAAAGCCGATTATCTTCCTACTCCACGACAGCCAACGCTCACATATGGTAAAGATGGCATCTAGAAACTTCTAGATCTCGATTGGACTCATGACCATATTACTTAACGGTCTTGTAAGATTCTGATCACCACCTACTTACGGCATTGAGTCCTCACTTGGGAAATAATGAAAGTGATAGTTGACGTCAGCTCGTGAATGAGATCGAGATCTTCTTTTCATCGTAGTCGCCGGAATTCTGGGAACAGAAACGAAAAGCTTCCCAGAGTGTGGACATTTGTTCCAGGTACCTATAATACTTTTCTTATCGATTGGAGTTTTCGATCTTTCAGGGAATGTTCAATACAAATCACCTTCAATTGTTGCAGGACTTTCTTCCAACCTAATAGATTTATCACCGAATAAATGTGGTTTTATTTTTCAAAAGGTCAACTTAATGGACTTGAACCGAACGGAATATGTATATGTGCTTGTGTGTTTTGCGTGTTACGCGACGTTGTAATGGAGGAGCAGCAGGAGGTGGGAAACACAGCCGACACTAAGCCTGAACCTTTGAGTCGATCGATTTTCAATGTGAGCAGTATGTCGACTACTGATTTACCTCCACGTTTTCAACTAGCCCTAAGGCGTTCGTTATTCTTTGGAATATGCTTCTGCTTCTGGCTCGTCATCGGCACACTCGCCTTCTCCATACTTTCAGCCGTCGGACAAAAACGGGTACAGTATGCAATCAGTGATTTTAATCAAATATTCTGCTTAAATTGTGCAAAAATGTAGCTCGAACTACTAGGGAATTTGTGGCAGCAATTGTCGGGTGAAGAGCCCAAAATGTTCCTAGTCGGAGGCTTTCATGATTTCATCAGAATGTCCACCTTGTTATTACTAAAGCGCCGAATGTTGTTGATGCGCCTTGATTTATTTCCTCAGAGCATAGATGCACTTTCTCAATTGCCCTCAATGTGGCCTACTTGCCGGCCGCCTGCGAAGCTAAGATGAAACTTTGCTTTAATTTGACGAAAGTCGAAGGCATATGGCACGATAATCTGGTGCTCGATCTTAAATACTGGGAAGGATGCTATATAGTGGGAAACTGGCTAAAAAAACGGAGTCAAACGGCCAAAAACCTGAAAAAAGCTTCTGTTGCGCACGACTCGGAAGGCAATTTCGGACGAGTTCCCCATTGGCATCGTGCCAACAAAGGCTACGGTAGATACGGCTGCATGTATGTACTCATATATCCATGCAGCAATGCAGCCGCTTATATCAATCCCTTCGCTCCATACTGTTCTTTGGGAAAGAAGCTATACAAACATCAGCATCGCTCGGACACTTTTGGGCGGGCAGGCTCGATGGGCGTCTAGGTCGGTATGCCCTAGCCTGATAGAGCGTTGTAGGGGTACCTTCCCTGAAAAACGTGCTGTGCAGCGCCTGCTCATAGGCGTCGAAATCTGTCCTGCAAGGCGCCATTAATCCTACACGCTTTGGGGATTTATCGTGCCATTTGTCTTCAAACTCTGACCTGTGCGCGATAGATGATGGATGGCGATAGACTGAAAAGAGGTACATGCTTGAGATATGACTTATGTCTCAATCGATGTTAGCCGATCTCTGGCACGTTGGAATAGTATTAAGGATAGTCTGTATAGGAGAGTGAGGAGAGTTTCTGAAAAATTCCGCGTCGTTCACCCTTCACTAACCCACGTGTAAAAATCAGGCCAGATTTTCATGGAAATTCTCCTTTGACAGTGCTCTATAGCCCGGATAAGGGAGGGGATGGCGACGCGTTTTATTTGGTAGTGGCAATGGCCGCGCTTTCAGAGGAACAGTGTTGTATCATATCACTGACAAGTAAAAGTCCGGGTGACGGCTGCCTCGAATGGAACCTTTTGCAAAGAACGCATTTTAGACCATGGTTAAATGATGCGCATCCACGTCACTCCATCTTCTAGATATCACATACAGGGGGGGGGGCAAAAAAAGTCACTTCGACCGAGTCACATATCAGCAAAGTTTTCGCTGCCCAGACAGAAGACGTGGATACGAGTACCAGGGCGGAAGATACCCAAGATGTTCCTCGATAAGCAGGAGCTGGCTCTCGCCCATCACCTTCATGTACACCAAAATATGAAGTCATCTCCAGTCGCAGCCTGACTGGAGAAGACAATTCATGTCACCTCCAAACAGCTGCGAAACTTCTAGTATGGAGTCACCCATGGATAGCTACCTGGAGACCAGTACTCTCGATCTGGATGACCTCCAACATCGAGCAGCTCCGACAACGTCGCTACGGTCTAGGACATCATCTTCACCACAGTCGCCAAGGCGCGGGTTGATGGTATGGACGTACCTGGAATGGAAAGACCAATATTTTCTTCGTGGACCCCGGACTGAAGGTGAGCGCTGGCGGTTACATCGAGCAACTCGTGAAGAATATCCTCCCTCACATGTCGTCGCCCGTACCTTCTTGGAAACTTTGTACTGCTACAGCATTGGGTGCCACCACATGGAATCGAAGGGCATTGGAGAAACTCTCGCCTACTTGGAATGGAAGGGGGCTGAGTACCTAAAGAAGATGGAATATCCAAGTAGGTCACCTGACCTGAATCCCCTCAATTACCCGGTTCGGGCGGAGTTCAATAGGGTGGTCTACGGTGGCGGAGAAATCGACTATCTCGCTGATCTCAGGCACCACATCGCGGTCGCGTGCCAGAATCTCTCGATGGCGCTCGTCCAGAAGGCTGTGGCGGAGTGTCATAATAGTATTTAATATGCTCTTTAATATGGTGGTAAAAATGTCCGATCAGAATTTATAAAGTGTAACTTATAGCGCCTCGAAAGTCAATGAAGCAAAGTGACTTTTTTTGGCCCCTCCCCTGTATACATTGGCCTAGGAATCTGATCCGAGGGTGGACTACTCTCTGTATAGGAGTATTCATTTTGTTTATACCACATCCGAGCCGCAGTCGAAGACCTTTCTCCTTGGAGAAAACTATCATACTTCTCTCATTGGGTGGGCTCCACAGCTGTGATTCTCAAATAAATTTTATCATGTGGCACTTAATTTCCTTCAGAGTTGCGAGGAGTGTTGTAAAGTAAGCATCTAAAAAAAGCGATGTGATGTCATAATAGCATTATAAAAGCAATATTTGCGAAGATCGTGAGAGCAATTACCGAACCATGAAATATACGTGGGGACAATTTTTTTGAGAGTCGACATCTGGTGAAGGCAAAAGGGAGAAACGAATGCTTTGTGAATGTTCATTTTTGATACGCGTCTATCAAGCTCTACCTGCTATTTCATAAGGAAATTTTGAAATGTACAGTCCTCATCATTACGGACTGTCGGGGCGGCACAGCCGCGCTGCACTGTGACGCGACAGCGGCTGCGGCTCGGTGACGGCGATTTCCATGGAATTCGGCTGCAAATTCCCACTTTTTCAGCTCTTCAAGCTTCTAAAGTGGAAGTGAGTTATTCTGACAATTTTGAATTGTACTGGCTCTGAATGAATCTGAAAGAATGCAAGCCATTTGAATAAATGCCTGAAATAAGGCAAAATACAAGGAAAAGAGCATATAATCGACATAAAAATAAAGGAAATCAGAGCCAAGAATTGTTCAGAATAACTCACCTTCCACTTTAGAAGCTTGAAGAGCTGAAAAAGTAGGAATTTGCAGCCGAATTCCATCGAAATCAGCTGATTCACCGTCACAATGCAGCGCGGCTGTGCCGCCTCGACAGTCCGCAATGATGAGGACTGTTTCCCAAGAGCACGCTGTTTTCAGACCGATGTTGCTGGAATGGTGAAGCTGGACGCAAAGCGCACTGAGCTACTGAACGTTTTGTGGGCAGAAACCATTTCTAAATCGGAAGCCGATTGGGCGGAAATGGCCAACCAGAAACTTGAAATTTACGAAAAGGTGAAAATTTGATACATAATGAAATATTAACCATGTGACCGTTGCAGTTTTCAGGCTCTTCTCAACTATTTGGGTTATCGCGATGACACCAACGATCGTTCCCTTATGGGATCACTACGTAAATCGTTTTCGCTGATAACTACTATCGGTAGGTCAGAGCCGACAGCTGCTAAAATATTGCAACAATAAAAATGTTAAGAAAATATTAAAAATTATTACAAATCATTGGCATTATATTCGCAAGAATGCCTCACCTCTACTGTTTCAACAATACCGTTTTATTGTATTTCTTGCTGAGAAATTCTTTACAGGTCCAATGAACATCGCTGCCTTCAATACAGTTGGGAAAGCGTTTGCTATTTTATATACACTTATAGGTAAATCACGTTTCTGAACAATTTTTTCAAATATTCTGTGTAGCGCTGTGGCGAATATCGTGCCCTGATTCGAGACTCCTATTGCGCTCCCGTAGATCGCCGTTCACCGGGATTAACTGAAACATTTGCAGTTTAGGAAATAGTTCATGCTTATTGCGTAGTGTACGCAGTTAATCGTATAGGCACAGACAGCCGTATACAGTCCGCATCCGTATACGCTCGCTTAGCACACCCCTCCTCTTCAGCGTCTTAGAAAGTGGGGCACACTCATGGGAAAGGCAGAATAGTTAGCTGTCTCGTATATAGATAGATCTCTATACGATCACCGCAGGGTGCATCCTAGAATATTTCTTGGAGACTTCTTCGAAGTTGGGCTCCAAAACGGAGCACTTTTGAAGGCGGTCATGAAATTTTGGCACAATTCTGCTATTAATACTCCAGAGATCTCGAAATTAAAGAGGTTTTTTTGCTAAGAGGCAGAGAGGCAATTTGGTGCTCCGATCATGAATATGACATTGGTTTCTAGCGCTGGTGCCACTGAGCTTCACCCCCCCCCCTTTTGAACGGAACTCCGCGTAAGCTTGTACACTGGGGTTACTCGGTGACCTAGTCGCGAGTATCACACTATTTTTCGAAGGTGGTATCACTTGGCGCCATTATCCGCCAGTTTGGCTCGACCAAATTTTTTGCTAATTTCGGTGTGAACTTGTATAGTGTAGTTATTCGGTGTACTAGTCCGAGCCTTGACAGGGGCTAAATGATCTTCGTTCTGGGGAAAGAATGGGGCTCCGATACTAGTACACCGAATAACTACACTATACAAGTTCACACCGAAATTAGCAAAAAATTTGGTCGAGCCAAACTGGCGGATAATGGCGCCAAGTGATACCACCTTCGAAAAATAGTGTGATACTCGCGACTAGGTCACCGAGTAACCCCAGTGTACAAGCTTACGCGGAGTTCCGTTCAAAAGGGGGGGGGTGAAGCTCAGTGGCACCAGCGCTAGAAACCAATGTCATATTCATGATCGGAGCACCAAATTGCCTCTCTGCCTCTTAGCAAAAAAACCTCTTTAATTTCGAGATCTCTGGAGTATTAATAGCAGAATTGTGCCAAAATTTCATGACCGCCTTCAAAAGTGCTCCGTTTTGGAGCCCAACTTCGAAGAAGTCTCCAAGAAATATTCTAGGATGCACCCTGCGGTGATCGTATAGGGGACGAGACAGCTAACTATTCTGCCTTTCCCATGAGTGTGCCCCTTTTTCTAAGACGCTGAAGAGGAGGGGTGTGCTAAGCGAGCGTATACGGATGCGGACTGTATACGGCTGTCTGTGCCTATACGATTAACTGCGTACACTACGCAATAAGCATGAACTATTTCCTAAACTGCAAATGTTTCAGTTAATCCCGGTGAACGGCGATCTACGGGAGCGCAATAGGAGTCTCGAATCAGGGCACGATATTCGCCACAGCGCTACACAGAATATTTGAAAAAATTGTTCAGAAACGTGATTTACCTATAAGTGTATATAAAATAGCAAACGCTTTCCCAACTGTATTGAAGGCAGCGATGTTCATTGGACCTGTAAAGAATTTCTCAGCAAGAAATACAATAAAACGGTATTGTTGAAACAGTAGAGGTGAGGCATTCTTGCGAATATAATGCCAATGATTTGTAATAATTTTTAATATTTTCTTAACATTTTTATTGTTGCAATATTTTAGCAGCTGTCGGCTCTGACCTACCGATAGTAGTTATCAGCGAAAACGATTTACGTAGTGATCCCATAAGGGAACGATCGTTGGTGTCATCGCGATAACCCAAATAGTTGAGAAGAGCCTGAAAACTGCAACGGTCACATGGTTAATATTCATTATGTATCAAATTTTCACCTTTTCGTAAATTTCAAGTTTCTGGTTGGCCATTTCCGCCCAATCGGCTTCCGATTTAGAAATGGTTTCTGCCCACAAAACGTTCAGTAGCTCAGTGCGCTTTGCGTCCAGCTTCACCATTCCAGCAACATCGGTCTGAAAACAGCGTGCTCTTGGGAAACAGTCCTCATCATTGCGGACTGTCGAGGCGGCACAGCCGCGCTGCTTGTGACGGTGAATCAGCTGATTTCGATGGAATTCGGCTGCAAATTCCTACTTTTTCAGCTCTTCAAGCTTCTAAAGTGGAAGGTGAGTTATTGTGAACAATTCTTGGCTCTGATTTCCTTTATTTTTATGTCGATTATATGCTCTTTTCCTTGTATTTCCCCTTATTTCAGGCATTTATTCAATGGATTGCATTCTTTCAGATTCATTCAGAGCCCGTACATTACAAAATTGTCTAGAATAACTCACTCCACTTCAGGAGCTAGAAGAGCTGAAGAAGTGAATTTGCAGCCGAATTTCATGGAAATCAGCTGATCCGCCGTCACCGAGCCGCGGCCGCTGTCGCGTCACATTGCAGCGCGACTGTGCCGCCCCCACAGTCCGTAATGATGAGGTTTGTACGTTTCGAAATTTCCTTATGAAATAACAGGTAGAGCTTGATAGACGCGTATCAAAAATGAACATTCACAAAGCATTCGTTTCTCCCTTTTGCCTTCACCAGATGTCGACTCTCAAAAAAATTGTCCCCACGTATATTTCATGGTTCGGTAATTGCTCTCACGATCTTCGCAAATATTGCTTTTATAATACTATTATGACATCACATCTTCGCTTTTTTTAGATGCTTACTTTACAACACTCCTCGCAACTCTGAAGGAAATTAAGTGCCACATGATAAAATTTATTTGAGAATCACAGCTGTGGAGCCCACCCAATGAGAGAAGTATGATAGTTTTCTCCAAGGAGAAAGGTCTTTGACTGCGGCTCGGATGTGGTATAAACAAAATGAATACTCCTATACAGAGAGTAGTCCACCCTCGGATCAGATTCCTAGGCCAATGTGTACAGGGGAGGGGCCAAAAAAAGTCACTTTTCTTCATTGACTTTCGAGGCGCTATAAGTTACACTTTAAATTCTGATCGGACATTTTTACCACCATATTAAAGAGCATATTAAATACTATCATGACACTCCGCCACAGCCTTCTGGACGAGCGCCATCGAGAGATTCTGGCACGCGACCGCGATGTGGTGCCTGAGATCAGCGAGATAGTCGATTTCTCCGCCACCGTAGACCACCCTATTGAACTCCGCCCGAACCGGGTAATTGAGGGGATTCAGGTCTTTAGGTACTCAGCTCCCTTTCCATTCCAAGTAGGCGAGAGTTTCTCCAATGCCCTTCGATTCCATGTGGTGGCACCCAATGCTGTAGCAGTACAAAGTTTCCAAGAAGGTACGGGCGACGACATGTGAGGAGGATATTCAGTTGCTCGATGTAACCGCCAGCGCTCACCTTCAGTCCGGGGTCCACGAAGAAAATATTGGTCTTCCATTCCAGGTACGTCCGGTCCATACCATCAACCCGCGCCTTGGCGACTGTGGTGAAGATGATGTCCTAGACAGTAACGGCGTTGTCGGAGCTGCTCGATGTTGGGTCATCCAGATCGAGAGTACTGGTCTCCAGGTAGCTATCCATGGGTGACTCCATACTAGAAGTTTCGCAGCTGTTTGGAGGTGACATGAATTCCAAAGGTCTTCTCCAGTCAGGCTGCGACTGGAGATGACTTCATATTTTGGTGTACATGAAGGTGATGGGCGAGAGCCAGCTCCTGCTTATCGAGGAACATCTTGGGTATCTTCCGCCCTGGTACTCGTATCCACGTCTTCTCTCTGGGCTGCGAAAACTTTGCTGATATGTGACTCGGTCGAAGTGACTTTTTTTTGCCCCCCCCCTGTATGTGATATCTAAGAAGATGGAGTGAGCGTGGATGCGCATCTTTTAACCATGGTCTAAAATGCGTTCTTTGCAAAAGGTTCCATTCGAGGCAGCCGTCACCCGGACTTTTACTTGTCAGTGATATGATACAACACTGTTCCTCTGAAAGCGCGGCCATTGCCACTACCAAATGAAACGCGTCGCCATCCCCTCCCTTATCCGGGCTATAGAGCGCACTGTCAAAGGAGAATTTCCATGAAAATCTGGCCTGATTTTTACACGTGGGTTAATGAGGGGTAAATGACGCGGAATTTTTCAGACAACTCTCCATCACGCTCTTATACAGACATCTTAATTAGCTAATTCCATACCTGCCAGCAGATCGCCTACATGATTGACGCCCACATACGTGCCATATCTCACAGCATGGTACTCTTTTTTCCGTCTCACTCCGCATCACATCATCTCATCGCCCGCCCCACAGGTCAGATTTGAAGCAAGACTGCGCACGCATCCAATCCCCAGCGTGTAGGATTAATCGCGCTTGCAGGACCGTTTTCGCCCGGCCTATAGAGCGGGCCGCTGCCCACCAGCCATCCTTTCTTCTCAGGTAAGCCCCCCCACTACAACGCTCTATCAGCTAGCGCCGCATCACACGACGCAGCCCCATGCGCGTCTGCCGCGTAAAAGTGTCCGAGCCGATGCCTGATCGTTTGTCATCACCGCTTCTTTCACACCAGCACCAAGAATGGAGCGAACGCGGATCTGAACTTATCAAGCCGGACCCTGGCAGTTGTTTGCTGATATATGAAGTATGTATCAGGCCTCTGTCTCCGGAAGTTATTAGCGTTTGGTGTTTAACTTTCAAACGATACATAACTTTCCTTCAGCACCCCTCAATCCGATTTACCTCAAATAAGCACCATTCGCACATCACACCCTTTTTTGCCAATGTGGCAGCAGTCGAGAAATCCCATCAAAGAAAAACTGGGTGGTCGAGAATCCACGAAATCTGCGAAGGTCTTTTTTGCCTGGTCTTAATTGATGAAGTATTTTTCAGCAAGGAAGTTCTGAAAATGTCTGAAAAGGTGACAGTCGGTTTTTTCGACACAGGTCAGAGAAATATGGTGGGATGAGGCTAGACACTTCAAAACTCCCCACTTCGTCTCCAATTTACTGGATCAGTCCGATTTGCTCGAACCGTGTGGGCGGCGTTGTCCTCGAAAAAAGAATCGGACCCTTTCTTTTGATAAGTGTTGGCTGCAGCTGACAATATTTTCGGTACATTTGGTCGGTTTGTTCACAGTAGGGTTCTGCTGTGATGGTTTGGCCTGGTGATGAAAAGTTATAGTGGATTACAACAGCCGATGACCACCAAACCTGACCAGAATTTTTTTCGCGAGGGTTCGGCTTTGAAAATTACCTCGGTGGTTCCTCCAAATCCAACCACTGTCCGGAACGTCTCCTGTTATCATACATGATCCATTTTTCATCACAGGTGACAAATCCGTTCAAAAACGGGTCAATTCTTTTGCGCAAAAGCAGTGAAGAAGGAACCTCGAGACGTGCCGATTCCTGCCGGTCACTCCGATTGTGGGCACCCAATTGTCGAGTTTTTTCACCTTCCCAATGCGTTCCAGACCATCTGCAACAGTGGATTTGCCAAGGCCTAGCTCTTCTGCTATCTCTCGAACTGTTTGGGATGGGTCAGCCTTCAAAATCCCCCTAAAATCCTCGTCAGATATTGCTTTAGGTCGACCGCTATGAGGCTCACCTTCAAGGCTGAAATCTCCAGAGCGAAATTTATTGAGCCATTGCCGCACAGTGCTTTCTCTTTAGCAC